CTGGCAGTTCCACATGGAACACAGGCACAGCTCTGGCAGCTGTGATGTCACAGGAGTTGTGGGACCACTCGGCAGTGGGGATGGGGATCATGGAATGATGGAATCCTTGAACGGTTTGGCTTGGGAGGGACCTTAAAATCATCTTTTTTCAACCTGACCAGGTTGCTCAGGGCCCCATCCAAGTGGTCCTTGAATGTTGCCAGGGATGGGGCATCCACAGCCTCTCTGCACAGCCCCTGCCAGGGCCTCGCCACCCTCACAGGAAACAATATTTTCCTAACATCAAATCTAACCCTCCCCTCTGTCAGTTTGAATCCCTTGTCCTGTCACTACAGTTGCTGACCAAGAGTCACCCTCCGGCTTCCTTGGAGGCCCCTTCCCAGACGGGAAGGTTTCTCCCAGGTCTCCACACAACCTTCTCTTGTCCAGGCTGAAGAGCCCCAACTTTGCCAGCCTGTGTGCAGAGGGGAGGTGCTCGAGGTCCCTGAGCCCCTTGGTGGCCTGGTCTGGCCTTGCTGCAGCAGTTCCCTGGCCTTGTTGTGTCGGGGACCCCAGAGCTGGAGGCCGCACTGCAGGTGGGGTCTCCTGAGAGCACAGCAGAGCGGCAGAACCCCCCTGCCCTGCTGCCCCCAGGGCTGGGGATGAGCCCAGGACACGGGGGGGTCTGGGCTGAAAGGGCACATTCTAAGAGGGCTCCTGTAATGACAATAAGACAGTAAGACAGGTGGCCCTCAGAACAACTGGCCTCTAGAGCAGATAGACAGAGACAGAGAGCTGAATAGCCCTCCTGTATTCCAGGAGGATGTAGTTAGCAACTTACTGAGCCAGCTGGATCCTAACAAGTCTATGGGACCAGACGGGATCCATCCCAGGGTGATGAGGGAGCTGGCAGAAGAGCTTGCCAAACCGCTCTCCATCATCTTCCAACAGTCCTGGCTCTCTGGGAAGGTCCCAGATGATTGGAGGTTGGCGAATGTCACCCCAATCCACAAAAAAGGCTGCAAGCAGGACCCTGGCAACTACAGGCCTGTCAGCCTGACCTCGGTGCCTGGCAGGGTTATGGAGCAGATCATCCTGAGTGCAATCACACAGCACCTTCAGGATGGACAAGGGATTAGACCCAGCCAGCATGGGTTTAGGAGGGGCAGGTCCTGTCTGACCAACCTGATCTCTTTTTACGATCAGGTGACCCACCTGGTGGATGAGGGGAAGGCTGTGGATGTGGTCTATCTAGACTTCAGCAAGGCCTTTGACACTGTCTCCCATAATATACTCCTGGAAAAGCTGGTAGCCCATGGCTTGGACAAGTGTACCCTCTCCTGGATTAGGAGCTGGCTGGAGGGTCGGGCCCAGAGAGTGCTGGTGAATGGAGCTGCATCCAGCTGGCAGCCGGTCACCAGTGGTGTTCCCCAGGGGTCTGTGTTGGGTCCAGTCCTGTTTAACATCTTTATTGATGATTTAGATGAGGGGATTGAGTCCATCATCAGCAAATTTGCTGATGACACCAAATTGGGAGGGAGTGTCGACCTGCTGGAAGGCAGGAGGGCTCTGCAGAGGGATCTGGATAGACTGGAGAGATGGGCTGATTCCAGTGGGATGAAGTTCAATAAAGCCAAGTGCCGGGTCCTGCACTTTGGCCACAACAACCCCCTGCAGCGCTACAGGCTGGGCACAGAGTGGCTGGAAAGCAGCCAGGCAGAAAGGGACCTGGGGGTACTAATTGACAGGAAGCTCAACATGAGCCAACAGTGTGCCCAGGTGGCCAAGAAGGCCAATGGGATCTTGTCCTGTATCAAAAATAGCGTGGCCAGCAGGAGCAGGGAAGCGATCCTTCCCCTGTACTCTGCGTTGGTGAGGCCACACCTTGAGTATTGTGTTCAGTTCTGGGCCCCTCAGTTCAGAAAGGATATTGAGGTGCTGGAGCGGGTCCAGAGAAGAGCAACGAGGCTGGTGAAGGGACTGGAGCATAAGTCCTATGGGGAGAGGCTGAGGGAGCTGGGGTTGTTTAGCCTGGAGAAGAGGAGGCTCAGAGGTGACCTCATCACCGTCTATAACTACCTGAAGGAAGTTCTAGCCAGGTGGGGGTTGGTCTCTTCTCTCAGGCACTCAGCAATAGGACAAGGGGGCACGGGCTTAAGCTCCGCCAGGGGAAATTTAAGTTGGATATCAGGAGAAAATTCTTTACAGAGAGAGTAATCAGGCATTGGAATGGGCTGCCCAGAGAGGTGGTGGATTCACCATCCCTGGAGAGTTTTAAACGCAGATTGGACGTGGCACTGAGTGCCATGATCTAGTAAATGGACTGGATTTGGACCAAGGGTTGGACTCGATGATCTCGGAGGTCTTTTCCAACCCAATCGATTCTATGATTCTATGATTCTATGATTCCCAAGAACTGAAGTGTTAAGCTAAGTGCTCTGTCTTTTCTAGGATCCTCCTTTCTCTCTGTTTTTATAGATAAGCACTGTATTCCCCCTTTATCAAAAGCCTCATCCTTCCTCCACAAGTTCTCAAAGATAAGTGCTAATGGCTCTGAAATAGCTTCAGGCAGTTCCTAAAAATATTCTGAGGCAAACTTCATCAAGCTCAAGTCAAATCCCTAGTCTGTTCTCCTTCTTTCCTTGCTCGAGTTATGCCTGCTTTGTTGGTTATATTCTGTCTAATCCCAAATGATTAAAAGTGTCTGCTAAACAGATTAGTGGTCTATAGTGTCACTGTAAAGGGCTTACGTTGTTGCTGAGTATAGGTAGTAAGTCAATAATATGCTGAACTAATAGGGAAGCCAAGAAATTTTGGGAGATCTTAGAAGCCAGAACAGAGTACTGGGTAGAAAAGTGACACTGGAAGAGTTCAAAGGCTGGGGATGTCACGAAGGAAGTGTTTTACCCAGGTTATTCTGACAGTGGAGTTTATCTACAATCCCAAAGACTATGGAATGGAAGATTACAATGTCTGTAGTAATGCAGAGCTAAGCATCAATGTCTGAACGCAGTGGTCTTAGAGAGTTTATTTACAGGGTGACTTCAGTGTAGCCTGAATGCAAGGATCCATTGAGAAGGTTGTGTCACTAATTCCTGTGATGGGCTTGAGATGCTGGGGCCAGTTTACAAGTGACAGACTGGCCCCCACTTGTGCTTTATATAAGAGTTAACTCTGACCAGCTCAGGTATTTTGAAAGCAGTTAAGCTCCAGCTATGCTGGCATTTTAATATATTTTTGTTGAAATGCACTGGCTGTCACTCAGTGGAAATAGGAAGAGACAAACATAAAAGGGAATGATATGTGACAGTATATAAAATTCTGTATGGAATTGTACTTGTTTCATCCTCTTTTTTCTGGAGGGCAGCATAAAGATCAGTGCTATAACTCTTCTCTATAAATGGTCTTACCTGATTTGGAATCATTGATGTACAAGGTTTTGAAGGATCGGGTCTTCAGCTCAAGACCACTTGTTCTTGAACACTGATTAGTTACAGAATCTGCTTGGTTATATGAAGCCTCATTTATTCTACTTTTCTCTTTTCAAGATAATACTTGAAAGTAGTGTTTTTCTCTTCCCTTTGCTCTTTGCCTTTCTAAAGAGGTTTCATTACAGCTTGATTAAAATGTCTATATCTAACTCACTAACAAGAATATTTAGCCTGTTTTCTGTTCTTGCGAAGAGGGCTTGGAAAGCTAACACCCTTCAACAAAAACATACTTTCCATCACACCCTGGTTTCAGTTAACTTGGTTTATTTACAGTACTAGCTTTCTAACGGTTGATTACAGTGCATGATCTTGTTACCAAGGATGATGAAACTGATTTGTCTGCTCAACAAAGAGCTTTGTGGGGTTTTTTCCCCCACATGCTTTGTTCCAGCATTGCTTTATACTGTCAGTGTGTAATTTGTAGTGATTTATTCCATTAATAATTGCTCATGCAGGCTGCCTTTGTAGTGGTGATTTTTAACGATGGGCATCTAAAGTGTTCCACCCTGCATCCTTTACCAAAAGATACCAAAGTCTAAACATGGCAGATACTGAGTTATTTGCAAAGCAGATACACTTCCATTTTTGCTATTGAAAAGTCAGAAATTACTTTCTGATTGGAGTCATAGAGTTAATTCACGATCAAAGTAATTTTCTTGTCTGTGCACACTTCCTGACCAGATGTGGTTTTCCATTCTAACTGTGGTGGTTTATCAGTTGTTGGTATGAAGAGAGCATATGGGTAAACGATCTAATCAAAATACTGATAAACACCAGATACTGGAAAAATTTAATAATGTGTTTGTGAAAAGGGAGGGGAAATAATTTTCTATTTCTTAATTTTGCTACTAGTCAAACCATCTTGACTATGGTTGTTGTCAGCAGGTGCAAGGGTAGCTGACTAGAGAAGTGGCATATTCTTCTCATGAATTATAGAAAAAAACAGTACCTGGGTGGTTGCTATAGTCAGGTGAGCTACAGAATTTGAGTTTAATAAAAGCTCTGTGCATTTACAAGTTATTTATTTTCATAGCACAGCAGAATAATACCATTCAGTGCTAAATGAAATTAATGCACTTACCAGTGAAGAGACAAAGTGCCTATCGGTATATAATGTAATCATAATGAATTTTGAAATCCATGACAATTAAGTAGATTTTCACAAGATAAAGTTCTTCAGACACACAAGTGAGTTGTCAGTATGACAATCAATGAAATGCTGTGCTATCCTCCTGTTGGTAACTTCAGGTAGCAAGGCTGAAAAGATGTTAGTCCTTAGTCTAGGAAAGAGCAATCAGAAGAAAGAAAGAAAAAAGACATCAAATACAGACAAGATGGCTGCAAAATGGAAAGGAATGAAGGATTCCCAGTGTTATCTCTACATAGTACTTGAGTTGCAGCAAGTGATGTTTAGACTGGATGCAGGCAAGGCCTCATTTAATAGCCGAGGTAATGCCACTCTGCAACCTTTAGGAGACAAGAGAAAAAAAATGCACAGTCAGTGTGTCAAACATGATCCTGTCTCAGAGGAGGGAGAGAAACTTCTAGATGAGGTTCCTTTATTCTATGATTTCCTTCAAATGGGGCCCAACAAACCAGAGCCCTCTCAGTCAATGAAAACAGCAAGGGCTTGCTGAAATGCAGCCGCGTTCTGTGTCTCTAAGCAAGGCTTATATGTCTAGGGCATCTTCAGTTAGGTGGTTAGACCTTGTCTGGTTGTCTTGAGTCTCCAGAATACATATAATGAACCAGGATCATGTCTCTGTGAATGAGGAAACAGATATCCTATGAGAATCTCCTTTAAACATGGGGGCAACAGAAGAAATGTAAAATCTTAATTGCTATTTCTCAGATCAGTACATTTTTAGGATTCCTGTTGAAATTTGTTGGGGCACTTTGAAGCTCCTTTAAGGAAAGAACTAAGAGGATGAGCTGGAATCAGCTAATCTTACGCATGTGAGTGTTGTGAAAGCTGTTGCCCATATTTTTCATCACTAACCAGTTTGGTACCTGGGTTCTGCTCACATGGAGTGATCCTCCTCCACTACTGAGTCTCTTTCAGGCGTGAAAATTACCAGTGGAAGTGCATGATGTCTGAACTTCTTTTCTGAGGCCCAGACTCACAACTTGAGTGCTTTTGTTTTTGAAATCCATAAGACAAGATTGTATCACCTCTCTCTGTGTTTGCCTCCAGCAGACAGAGATGTGGAACCTGAAAACAACCACAGAAAAAGAAACACACGTGCTGATCACCGTAGATAATGGACCGATGCAAAATATGTAATCTATGTGTGGTAGGTTTCTTACTTTCTAAAGTTTTAGATCCAAATGTATTGAAGAACACTGAATTTACACCATAAAACTGTTCAAAACATTTTCTTGTGGCCAGTGATAATCTGCCTGATTTAGAGTATTTTTTGAAATCAGCATTCCTGACTTTGCAGAGAAAGATTCTCTGTGTTCTTTCTGTGGTATATCTTGTATGTTAGACTAATCCATGAAGCTTTCAAATTGATTTTAGAAGGAATAAAGGTTTAAAGTTAAATGAATAGCAGCTAATACACAGTGCTCAGTATGCAAGATTCTGCCCTTGACAAGCCATAGTAAGTCTAATAATTCTTCTCACTTCTTCTACCTTATAAGTTCCTTAGAAGCAGCCATGAGATAGAATCTTAGAATCATTTAGGTTGTAAAAGACCCTTATGATCATCTGCTAAGTCCATTGTGTCCTTTAGCACCATGTCTTTTAAATCTTTTAAATACCTCCAGGGATGGTGACAACCACTTCCCTGAGCAGCCTGTTCCTGGGCCTGTTAAGACTTTCAGAAGGTGAAAGATCATAATGGGCAAAATATTTCCTCCTCAGAATTCACAGATATCTGCATGAACAGTGGTGCAGTTCCATGCAAGAAGGCCATTTACTGGTCCTTCCATGTACCATTGTCTCCTGGGGCACCTGAAGAGAAACGGACCTAGGAATTGGCAGTGGCACTATCAAAGTGAGTAACTGCAGCTTCCTGCTATGTGCTGTAAGAGGTAATGGGGAAATGCTGCCAGTGTTTCAATTCCACATGCAGCAAGTTGTATTCACTTAGTGAAGCCCCAGACATTTTCCACCAGCTTACCTGCTGTCCAGCAAGGAGCTACTTCAGTAATGAATTACCACCTGTGTTTAGAAGTACCAGCTTTTTAAAGTGTGATTTAGTTATTTGCTACAGGGAGTTGCAGGATGTGGATTGTAGACAGCAAAGTGAATAACCCAAATCTGGTGTTGGGATTTGGTAAGAATATGTTCTTGACAGGGTAGGTTTTTTCAAATACATTTAATGATTTGTGTTGAATTACTTGATATTCAATGAAGTTTAGTTTTGGATCCTCAAAGAGACACAGTTGCCCAAATTCCTCAGGTTAGGAATTACACACCTGAAAATAGACAGGGGTAAAATACTACTGACAAGTACTGTTAAGTAATTTTCTAAGCTGCTCTGGCAGCTGATAGACATGCTGGTGGGCTGGAAAATTTTGTGGGAGGGCTGGAATATGAGTGAATGTGTTTGCTGCATGTATTTGAATGAGGTGTTCTTGGCGCAGCTCTAAGCAGAGCATGTTTTTACCTGCTCTCACTTATTTTAAAAGTATCACTGGACAGCCTTTTTTTTTTTTCATGTGGGATCATAAATACATGACACGGTGAAAGCATGACAACTCCGCAGCTGAACGCAGCTGTCTGCAGAGAGATACAGCTTAAGTTGTGCCAAAGTGAGGAAGTTCTGTTTATGCCAACAATGATACTCTGTACCAGGATTTTAATACAGAATTGCACCTTTTTTTATTTCTTAAAGGTACTTTGAGCGGGATGTAAAAACAATGCAACAGTGCCTGTGTTTTGTAAGGAGGATGGGATTTTTTAAGGCTTATCAAATATGTTTAAAAGGAAAGACTAAAAATTCTTTCTGCAAGTAGGACTGACTGTGAGAAATTTTTGCTAAGTGTGGTTCTGAGTTCTAATTTTGCTTATTGGTGCTTATATAAATCTGAAATATCTTCACTGAAGTCATTTGAGCTGCATGGAATTAAGCGATTGCAGAATTTACATCAAATGGTCCCCAGAGCTTTTTGTGCTGCTGTAAGCAGTTACAATTCATAACAGTAAATGAGCTAATATGTGTATGGGACATTCTTTTTGGATAGTGTGAGATACAGAGACTGTCAATCTAATTCTCATGAATGGAATTTTCTACAGCAACAGGGAAAAAAAATCTAATTTCCTCTTAGTGTAATTCAGAAAGCTTAGAGATATAGGAAATTCACTTGTAGCCAAAAAAAAAAATCCTTTGTTGGTATGTGGGTGATATTCTTGCAACCTTTTTACAGCCCTCGCATAAGGCATAAAGCTGACAATCTTTCAAGTCATTTCTGTCAGCCAAAATAGGCCTGATGTTAAGAGGCCCTGTTGCTGCAAAACTAGCCTTTTCTCTTTCCGGTCCAAGGAGCAGAAACAATGTTTTATTTGGATTGTTCTATCTCTAGGGAAGTAATAACTTGCGCATACACCCTTTGAACTAGTTAGGGATTTGATGCAATGTTTTGGTAAACTAACAGTGCTCCACGCAAAGCATTAGATGTACTCTATCTGACATTAGATGTCATGTGTTCGATCAGAGAGTTTTCCTTAGGCAACAGCTAACCACAAAGTGAAAGGAAATCAAAGCTAGAATCGAAACATTTTATGGAAAGCCATCAATCTCTTTTTCTCCCTTGCATCCTCTTTTCCCTATCTTTGAATAATTGATTTTATTAATTTATTATTGTGAGTCTTCAGTCACCTTCAGCTGAAAAGAGCATCACACATTGCCAAATATACATTTCTAGGAAAAAAGCTATTGCTCTTAGTCCAAGACTGCTATTCACCTTTCTTTCTCCTCCGTTAAAATAGAGTAATGTGTGTCCAATACTGGTTCTTCAAGGGTGTTAAGCTTATAAAGACTGTTGTAGTTGCTCGCACTTATGAGATCCAAAATACATACTTAGCATATCCAACATGTATAGCACTTAGCATGTGAAGATGCCGTATAAGTCATACATTGCATTAAAAACAATGGTACTGACATTTAGTTCATGAGATAGGAGAAGGTATATCCAGGTACAAACATATCTACTGGCTAAATTGGAATATAGTTAAACTTGACGAACTACTTACAGGACAAGAAATTAAGTATCAGTGCTTTCATGGGCATAGAAACAAACAGAAAGAAGTCCATGTTTGGTCAGATTAATTTTTCACAAACAATATTCTTTGCAAGAACAGCAGAAAGATAAAACCCAGCTTGAAGCTTTGATAAGGAATTATTAAATAACTTCTATTTCTGCAAAGCTGTTCCAATAAGATAACATAAGAAGCAAACATTATATATAGGCACAGCAGTCAATATACAGAAGGCTGGTTTCAACCTAGCAGCAGTGGTTTGTGTGACATAGACTCAGGCTGCCAGCGTGAAGCCATGTCCTTTGGTACAACATGGAACAGTGAATGCAAATCAATCTCTGCTAGCAGAAGTAAAGAGAGAGGCTATAGTGCTTAAGCTAATTCCAAATAGATGAACTCAGTCCAACTGTTCAATTCCTTTATGCCTGTCACCAGTCTTGGCCAACGTGACTGAAGCCAGGTCTGACACTAAAAGCTAGAGCAGATAATGGCCTTTGGCTGCTAGGCTATTTGTGCTCCGAGTCTTTGTAATATGTCATTGTGAGAGACTACAAACACAAAAGGCACTGTGAAGAGCATCCTGCCAGCACCCAAAGTACTGTTCTGTAGGACCTTTACTGTGCTTCATGTCCTACATATGCTATATACAAGGTCAAGTTTCCATGTTTTAATTGTAATAATAATTTTTTATTCCATAAATTTATTAGCATTTAAAAACAATCTGTCATTGCTTCTCTACTTTGTTGCCTTGCCACCTTTCCATTAAGATGGAAATGGTGCAGTTGTCTCTTTTAGGACTGCCTTTGTCAGAGGGTCGGTTAAGAAGATGGACTAGTGCTTTTGGGACTGTGTGAATGAATGAATTCATTCAAATGAATACATTTGCTGGGAAGTAGTCTGGGTGCCCATCAGGAACGATCAGATGTAGCAGCAGAACTTAAGGCTTGGAAGACATGTTTCTCTGATGTAAGAAAAATTGATTTGTAATCACACTTTGAAGTCCTGTAAAGTTCTTCATTACTGAGTAATTGCTTTTTCTGTGACTATCTAAGGGAGAAGGAACATTACCCAGGTGGGAAGTATACCCTTCAGTTGAAGGTGATGATTCTAGATTTTGTCACAGAAAAAAGAGGGCTTTCTGAAATAATGGTTTTCCTGATGGGCAACAGAACCTGGTCCTGTCTTCCTTGGCTGTATGAGACTTTAGCTATGAGCACAAAGAAGAGGACTTACACTGATGTGGGATGGCTTTCTAGGCTATTTTTCCTTAGCACTGAAGGAGCACAGAAGCTCTACTTTAGAAGTGCTGATCTTTTAAAAAAGCTGCAAGCAAGATACCTCTTCCTCAAACTAGTATGCTTAAATTGATACTATTACAGTGTAGGTAACGACTGCAAAGGCTTTGGCCTCACGGCCTTCCTTGGCTGAAAGACCCCAGCATTGGATAGGAGCAAGGACAGACTTCATTACTACCCAAACAGGCCCAGGATGTTGAGTTTGGTAGCTTGACAGGCTTTCAATAGGCCTAAATTTTATATTCCTATTGTACATTATCTTACTATATTTTGCACATATATGGGGAAATGTAGCAATGAGTATAAGGGTTAAAATGTCAAGATATCTATCGGTAATACTTAAACAGCCTTTGTAGCTGCAAGAACACAATCAGGACTGTAAAACTGGGTAAGGCTTGAAAAGATAGCTTAAACTGTGTTAAAAAGGATTTTAATATGCTGTGCAAAGTCCCTGTAAATATGGTGGCAAGATGCTAACTTGACTTGTCATATTTTCCTTTTTTTGATGGTATTGTGATTTAAAGAGTCAAACAGTAGCAAATCTGAAGAGATTTAATAACTTTCAAAACCCATCAATACTTAAATATTAATTTGTCTTAAACTAAATATATTTTAAAAAACAGAGGAAACTTCCCAGATATTGACTTCCTCTGTATCAACCAGTTTGTTTAGGTACAGTACAGACAGATAGGAAGGCAAGGTATGTGGTCCCAATGAATGCAGAGTTACCCTAGATTCAGAAGTCATTGGTTTTCAAAGCATCTGGAAAATTTCCCCTTGTATTCCACAAGATGTGTGAATCACGTCCAGTGGGTATCTTGTCAAAATTCATTGACTGAGAAACATATTTGAATGTGGGCACTTGCAAAGCTGTGTTAGCAAGTGCCTGTCAGCTGCACTGCGGGACCTGGCCACATGAGTGGTCTCTGCTTGCAGTGGTGAGGTGAAAGGTATCAGTTTAAACTGCTCACTCTGGTGCAGTGGAGATGCACGTATATATGTATATCAGGCATATATAGGACAGAGGGGCCAACGGGCTGTCACATGCTACTTTTCAGAGTCAGGATCACTTTCAAGCTCTCGTAACCTATTGGTGCTTTTCAGAAAGGACTTCTCGGTCCTTTCCTTCAGTCTGCTTCACTGGGACATATAACTGGAATAAGTTGGTCTTAAAAAGTCAAATTATTTATTCTCTAGCTACCTGTATGCAACTTATACCTTGAAAAGGAGGGGGAATGTAGATTACAGACTTCCTTAGTGAGAAAAGTATGTGCCACAGGGTAATTTGAACTGTCTTCTCTTGCTCTTACTGTGTGTCTTTCAAAGTCTCTGCCTTAGGGCAGAGTTATTCCTGCTGTACATGAAGTCCATATTGCCCTCCTCCATGTATATTTGCCATCAAAAATAATCCCTCAAATCCATTTTCAATGGGAACTGCCAGCAGTTCCCCTCCTGGGTCTTATGGAGCACTAGTGACAAGTGACAACACTGGAGTGACATCATTGCCGGATTGTCAAGAACCTTTCCATTCTGGAG